CTATTAAACAACACACTCCTAAATAACCAGTGAGTCAAAGAGGAAATCAGAAAATCAGAAGGGAAATTAAAAAAAAAAATGCCCTGTGATAAATGAAAATAGGACACAATATACCAAAACTTGTGGGATGGGGCTCAGAGGAAAATTCATAGCTATAATCATCTACATTAAGAAAAGAAGGGGCCAGGCACAATGGATCATGCCTGTAATCCCAGCTCTTTCAGAGGTTGAGATGGGAGGATTACTTGAGCCCAGGAGTTTGAGTCTGCAATGAGTTATGATCACACCACTGCACTCCAGTCTCGGTGACAGAGTGGGATCCTGTCTCCATAAAAAGAGGAAGGATGGAAGGAAGGAAGGAAGGAAAGAAGGAAGGAAGGAAGGAAGGAAAAGAAAAGAAAAGAAGGATGTAAAATCAGTAACTTAACTTTCCACCTTAAGAAACTAGAAAAAGAAGAGCAAACTAAATCTAAAGTAAGCTGACGGAAGGAAATAATAAATATTGGAGTGGAGAATTGAAGGCAAGCAAAGATACTTATAAACCCTCGATCACAGCAGCAATATTTACAATAGCCAAAAGGTGGAAGCAATCCAGTTGTCCATTGATGGGTGAACTGATTTTAAAATGTGGTATATACATACAATGGAGTATTACTCCATCTTAAAAAGGAATGAAACGGGTACATGCTACAATGTGGATGAAACTTGAGGAAATTATGCTAAGTGAACTAAGCCAGTCACAAAAGGAAAAACGCCATGTGATCCCACTTACACGAGGTACTTAGAGTAGTCAAATTCATAGAGACAGAAAGTAGAATGGTGGTTGCTGGGGGCAGGGAGGGAGAATTATTATGTAATAAGCACAGTATTTCAGTTCTGCAAGATAAATTTCGAGATAAATTTCAGTTTTGCAAGATAAAAAGAGTTCTGTGGCTGGAAGGTGGTGATGGTCATACAACAATGTGAATGTATTCAATGCCACTGAACCGTAAACTAAAAATGGTTAAGATGGTAAATTTTATGTCATATGTATTTTAAATATAATTTAAAAATAAAGATTAAAGTGGAAGTTAATGAGATAAATAATAGAAAAAAATAGAGAAAACTAAACTAAAAGTTTGTTCTTTGAAAAGTCCAAAATAGTTGACAAAACTTTAGCTAGATTGAACAAGAAAAAAGAGAGGACTCAAATTCCAAGAATCGGAAATGAAAGAAAGAACATTATTAACGACCTTACAGAAATAAAAAGGATTATAAGGGAATACTACGGACAACTGTATGCCAACAAATTAGACAAATTAGGTAAAATGGACAAATGCCCAGAAAGATGCAAACTATAGTAACTGAGTCAAAAAAGAAATTAAAAAAAAAATCAGAATAGGTCTATAATGAGTAAAGAACTCACAGCAATCATCAAAAATCTACCCGCAAAAGAAGGCCGTGCTCAGATGGCATCACAGGTGAATTCTATCAAACATCTGAAAAAGAATTAGTGCTCATTCTTTACAAACTCTTCCAGAAAATACAACAGGAAGGAACGCTTCCTGACACGCTATAACGTGGATGAACCATGAAAATATTATGCTAAGTGAAAGAAGCCAGTCATAAAAGACCACACATTACGTGATTCTAGTTACATGAAATGTCCAGAATAGACAGAGTTACAGAGAGAGAAATAGATGAGTAGTTATGGATGCGAGGGGATAGATGATCAAGAGGTGATACCTGGGCCAGGCGAGGGGGCTCACACCTGCAATCCCAGCTCTTTGGGAGGCTGAGGCAGGTGGATCACTTGAGACCAGGAGTTTGAGACCAGCCTGGCCAACATGGTGAAACCCTGTCTCCACTAAAAACAGAAAAATTAGCCGATCATGGTGGCAGGGCCTGGATTCCCAGCTACTTGGGAGGCTGAGGCACGAGAATCACTTGAGCCTAGGAGGTGGAGGTTGCAGTGAGCCGAGATGATGCCACTGCACTCCAGCCTGGGCAACAGAGCCAGACTCTGTCTCAAAAAATAAAAAAAAGAGGTGATACCTAAGGAATATGAAATTCCTTTCCGAGATGATGACAATATTACAATATTCTCTGATTGAGGTGACAGCTGCACAACTCTGGGCATATACGAAAATCACTGAATTGTACACTTCAAATGGGAATTATATGGTAAGTGAATTATATCTCATAAAGCTGTTCCCAAGAAAATCATTCTACTTTTAAATATTATGGAAGTTAGGTTCTAACACACTATTTCATTTGTGACACAGGTTTCCTTCTGAGGTTTACAAAAGCCCTGTCAACCCGTTCCTCCCTTCAGGGAGCCTTTCACTGAGCACTGCTGTGTGTGAGGTTCCTTTAGCTGGCGTGGTCAGATGGTGAGGAGCACGGAGATGAATCCAGCCCAGCACCTGCCCCTGGAGCCATGGCCAGGTGAGGGGTAGACAGCATCCAATCAGGTTTCAGCCTGCCCAAATACCTAGTGCCTTGCCAGGTGGGTGCACTCTTCATAGTGACCCAAAGGAGAAGAAAATGATAGCCAACATTTACTAAGCACTTCCTGTGTGCCAGGGACTGTGCTAAGCACCTTCCATGCATAGTTTCACTGTGTCCTCACAATACCCTGGGTGTCGGTGCTCTCCTTAGCCTCATGGGACAGGTGATAAAACTGATGCTGCGAGCTTCTATCTGTCCTCCCACCACTCATTAAGGGAGGAGGAAGGTGCCTGGGCCTTCAGGAGTGTGGAACAGAATCAAGTTTGGGATGAAGCCAGGAGAAGGCCTCAATCAGCTCCAGTGAGAAACTGAGGCCCCATCGATCATGTGGATCTTAGCTTGGAGTGACATGGAGGTCAAGGAGGCAAAGAATATGGAGAATCTGAGACTGGGGATCTCGTTCTGCCCTCTCCACCTCCCCAAGACTGTACAATGAGGCCGCTGCTCCTCCTTCTGCCATAGAGTTAAGAGTCCGATAGGAGATGATGATCTCTATGAAGGAAGATCCCATGTTAGTGCTGTGCTGGAAGATGCCAGGGACCCTCTGCCCCAGCACTTAGAAGAGCTCTGGCTGTCAGGAGAAAGGATGGCGCATGCATGTGTACATACACTCATACATACACACACACACACACACACACACACACACACAACCTCTGCCATCCCCGGGCCTCTGGCTCACATCCATTGCCTTTGGATATTGGTCACCCTGGGGGAGGCCCTGCCACCCTTCTCCAAAGCCCTTCTCCTGGAGGCATTCCCAGGCTGCCAGCCCAGAGTGAGTGTACCTCCTTGGGGCCCCAGAGCCCCTGTTGATGTCTGAGTGTCACCTGCCTGCCTGGATTAAAATCCCAGCTCTTCCACTGATAGCTCAATAATCCTGTCTGAGTCCCTTCCTCCCTCGAAGCATCTGTTTCACCATGGAAAATAAGGCAAATAGAGCACTTAACACATAGAGCAGTTTCATTAAATGAAATACTGCTTGGAGAGTACTCAGTACAGTGCCTGTCTCCTTAATAGAGCTCAGTCTGGCTCTGCCCACTTCCCAGGCTGTAGGCGGGGGATGAGGGAGGGTTGTTGTGGATGGCTGTGTGCACGTGAGCTGGGGGCCGCTGTGCTGGGGCTCAGCTGGACAAAGTGCAACAGGCCATGGACTGCACAGGCCATGAGCATGGCTTAAGGACCAACCAGATCCTCAGTCGCCTGTTTGCCCCTCATTCTATCCAGAGAACCCCAGGGGGACAGAGGGTGCTCACTCTCTGCTGGGAGCCACTCGTGCCAATGGCCTCCTGCTTACTATGTATATTGAGGGGGAGGACAGGACCCACTGGGGATGTGGGGTCTGCAGGAAAGTTGTCAGTGGGTCAGCTCCCACTATGTATGTGGAGTCTGTGATGGGGGCACACGGATCACCTGGGGACCTTGCTAAGATGCTGCTTTGGGTGGGCCTGAGAGCCTGCATTTGTAATAGCTCCCTGAAGGCACTGATGCATGTCTGCCAGGGCTGGACTCTAAGCGGCAAGGACCTGAAGCGTGGTGTGGCCGTTTCTGAGCAGAGTTTGGGAATGTAATGAATGACAAGCACATCTTGGCCTCCCACTGGTTCTGCAGGGACCCAGCCCCACCCAACCACGCATCGGTTTCCAACATCTGGAGGGGAACACTACATGCATTTCCAGAGTTTCCAGGATTCCATTTCCATTACAAATGTAAAGTAAAAGTAATGCCACATTATAAACAAAAGTTGGAAAATAGGAAAAACTAATAGGAAAAAAAATCACTGATAATCTCATGCTGTATTTAAAATGACTGCTACCCTCTCTTCCCAGGATCCCTAAACCATGTCCATCAGGGTCAGGGACCATCCTGTGGCTGGGCTGGCACGGTAGGCCCACTCTGTCACACTGAAGCATCGGGTCAGGTGGGGGCCTGGATCTGCCCACCCCTTCTCACTCCAAGAAAGAGATGCTCCGCCCTGCAGTGCCTGAAGCCTTCGCCCAGACCTATCCTGGGAGCACAGAGTGCCGGGCAGGGTCCCTCCCCTCTTCCCCCACAGGCTGAGGAGGCAGAGGTGGGGTCCGGGGGAGGGGGTGCACATCTGGATTCCTGGCCCAGAGCCTGCATTCCTTCCCCGTGAATGTGATGAGATGGGGCCTCCAGGGAGCTGTGAGGAGGCTGCCCCCTTAGAACAGGCCCTACCTAGCAAAACGACTGGTGGAGACCTGAAGGCACAGAACCTCCTTTGGGGGCCCAGTTTGGGTCCAAAAATCCCCCACCCTGATTGCTGACCAACCAGCGTGGGCCGAAGATGGGCCTCTGTCCTGACCACAGCAGCCAGCCTTGCCTCAGAAATCCCAGTGGGGACAAAAGGGTAGAGGCCAGAGGGCCACGGGGCCCCTCATTGGTGGAAGGGGCCCTGGGGACACCGCTTTGCCTGCCCCACCCACAGGAGCCTGTCCGCAGGTCAGTAGGGGAGCCCAACAGCATCCCCTGGGCCAGGGCTGCCTTACCTGGGGGCAGTCCTTGATGTAGTGTCCTTTGTTGAAGCACAGGTGGCACAGGTAGTTGGGTGGGGGCCGCTTGCTGGGCTTGCGGGCCTCGGAGGTGAGGGTCAGGTCTGAGAAGTGCTCGGTGAGGGAGCTGAGGCCATCGGCAATGTTGTTGAGGGAGCCGTAGGGCGACGCGCCCTTGTACACACTGTTGCTCAGTGCCTGTGGGAGACAGAGGCATACGCCCTGCAGCTGCGGCCCTGGGACAGAGGCATACACGCTGCAGCCACGGCCCTGGGACACAGGCACACACGCTGCAGCCACGGCCCTGGGACAGAGGCACGCACGCTGCAGCCACGGCCCTGGGACACAGACATACACGCTGCAGCCACGGCCCTGGGACAGAGGCACACACGCTGCAGCCGCGGCCCTGGGACAGAGGCACGCACGCTGCAGCCACGGCCCTGGGACAGAGGCACGCACGCTGCAGCCACGGCCCTGGGACACAGACATACACGCTGCAGCCACGGCCCTGGGACAGAGGCATATACGCTGCAGCCATGGCCCTGGGACACAGGCACACACGCTGCAGCCATGGCCCTGGGACACAGGCACGCACGCTGCAGCCGCGGCCCTGGGAGAAGTTCCATAACCCCCAGCCCAAACACACGCATGGATTCACACTGAATCTTCAGCTTGAGGGCTCTGGGCTCCAGAAGCCTGAGTTCAGATCCTAACTAGTGTGTCTCCATGGACAAGCCAGTTAACTACTCTGGGCCTCGGTGACCCTGTCTGTAAAATGGGCCTAGTAACAACTCCTCCTAGGGTTTCTATGAGACTAAAACGAGGTCACTAATGGAAAGTGGTTTATCTCATGCCTGGCACTTCAGAACCACTCAGTAAATGGCGATGATGATGATGGCTATTATTATTATTACCATTAGTTATTAACATACTGCCACAAGGTAAGAACATAGAGTAGAAAGCAACCTGTCAGATTTGGGGCTCTGGGGTGACTTTAGGAAAGTCACTGCTGCCTCAGTTTCCCCACCTTGTAAGGAAGGGGAAACGTCAGCTTGCAGCATTGCTCCCGCTTCACACTAGAGAATGCTGAAGCCCAGCCCTTTGCCAGGTTTCCTGCAGCCCGAGGCTTGTGTAGTCTGTGTGTGGGGAGCCCTCAGCCCGGCCAAGCCACCTCTCTGGAAGCCCAAGGAGGGAAGTGGTCCATCTCTCTCACCTCCAGATGACAGGAACCAGACATCTTGCTTAGCTTCACAGCAGACGTGGCCCAGGCCCCCTCCTGGTATATACAGCCTCTATTTATAGGAGTCACGGGCTCCGGGCTGCCTGGAGCACTGGAATTTAGCGAAGGTGGGGCTGGCAGGGAGCAACCAGTGGTCCCCCTTTCCTGGAGCAAGGCCAAGGCTGAAAGAAGCGGCCTCCTTAGGAGGGTCAACCACAAAGCTGGGCTTGGGGCTTGGGTATCTCCTGGCCCCAGCACAGGTGCCCAAGAACTGCAGGAATAAGCTACGGACCTTGGGGGGCCTTGTGTCTGATGGGGAGACAAGGATTTATTTTCAGGAGTTCCAGGCTGAAGGAGAAGCAGGGCCCCTGAAAGGAAGGGCCTCAGGCTCCCTTACAAAGATGGGGCAGACAGGAGCCCAGGCTGGGGACAGTCCTTTCTGTGTTCCCTTAGCATAGGAAGGGGAGGGAGGCAAGCTGCGGGCTGGCCCCAGGGCACAGGGCACAGCCTTGTCTCCCCCAGTTGAAGTAGATCCTACTTTGCACAAGTATGTGTCCCAGCCATCCGACTGTTTCCATTTGCAGGCATCTGCCACTCCCCTCCTAGCGACACGGTCCTCATCATCTGGGTGTCACTAATGTTCTTGGTGCCTCAGGGCACATGGCTGTGCGACCACAGCCCTTTCCTTCTGGGCCTCTGTTCCCTCTCGTGTGCATCTGGAGCAGAGCCTGGGATGTGGAAGGAAAGACACAGACACCACATCCGGCGCAGGCCAGCCCAGCACACAGTCATCTATAGAGATTGGGAAGGATCTCAATGGGTCCTACTGACTGTAACTTCTCTATCACTGCCCGGCCCGACCACCAAATCCAGAGTGGAAGATTCCACATCGACCTGCGTTCAGCCTGAGGGGGACTGCAGCTCTCAGATAAGCCCAAGATGGAGCAGTCCACCCTGAGAAGCAGAGGGTCCCCCATCCCTGGAGCTGTGGGAGCCAATGGGGGTCGACCTTCCAGGGCGCCGGGGAGAGTTCTGATAAAAACCAGATCAGAGGATAATAGTGACACAGACCAAGCTCTTACTGTGACCCTAGCACTGGAAATTTTGCACGTATTGAGATAGCTGATTCTCCCCACAACTCTATGGGTCACTATCCCATTTTACAGATTACATGAGTGTGCCCAAGCCTGCATTGAATGACCTGGGAAGCTTATGACAAATAGTTTTCTGGGCCTCACCTCAGACCTACCAAAGCAGCCACCTGGAATCGAAGGCCTGAAATCTGTATTTTTAGGTGTGCGGCAAAATATACACAACAAAATTGACCATTTTAATGATTTTTCAGTGTACAGTTGAGTGGCATTAAGAGCATTCACGCTGCTGGGCAGCCATCGCCACCGTCCAGCTCCAGAACTTTTTCATCTTCCCAGACTGAAACTCCATCCCCATGAAGCAACAACACCCCCGCCTACTGCAGCCCAATCTGTATTTTTCAAGCTCCCCTAGGCAATTGAGGTACAACCAGTACTGTCCCACCCAGCCTTGGAGCACCTGGACTTCCCAACCATCAGGGTGTCCCCTTATCTTGACGCTAAGACTTTCCCCACACCAGAACGCCCCTCCCCCTCCAAATCCGCCCCAGCCTCCCAGAGAAAAGTTCATCCAAACAAGAAACTTGAAGCCCCAAATGGTGTGACTCACCCTCATGGCTGGGAAACACAATTTCACAAATAACAACCCACTTATTATTTTTTTCTTTTTCTTCCTTTCTTTCTTTCCTTCTGGTTTTTTTTTTCCCCCCCCTGGATAAGATTTAAGCAAGTCCACAGGAATCAGGCTGTTTGGCAGCAAATTGTCAAGAGGAAGGGGAAGTTTGGTGGGTGCCAGAAAGTGCACTAATTACACCCTGAAAAACCTCTCCCCCATCTTGCGGCCACGGTCCCCTGCCCACGGACGGCCCCACAGGCATCCCTGGGCAGTCAGAGGCCTCTAAGCGGGTACCCTCTCCTTGGCAGCCCGACACCCCACCCTCTGGAGGGCCACAGCCTTGCTGCTGCCCCAGGCAGCTCCACAGTGAGAGAAGCGAGGCCAGAGCTTCCCCTCCTCACGGCCTTTCCACCTCTAGTGCCCTCCAGCCTGGCTGCAGGGAATTAGGGCCCTTCCCCAAGCCCTAATTCCAGACGAACACCACCTTAGAGCCGAAAGGGCAGAGACCATCAGCTGACCCCACCTCATTCCCACATGACAGATGGGGAAACTGAGGCCCACAGGGGCACAGGGACGCAGACCAGGGCACCCAGACAGGCCCCAGGGCCAGAAGTCCTGCTTGGCTGGCCGGTGTGAAGGGTGGGTGGGGCAGTGAGCTGCTTCCTCTCCGAAGCCCCGTTTGAGCTCGGGCCAGGGAGGTGAAAGGCAAATCAGCCTCCTGGTTGTTTCCACAGCCTGTGGGGACTGGATGGAACAGAGGCCAGGACACAGAGCTCTATCCTCTCCTGCTCGGAGCTGGGGCTTGGCCTCCTGGGTTTCCCACCTCTACAGTGTAAAACGGAGCGGGGAAGAAGGGCGACCTTGCCGATCCCCGCGGTCCTGCTTTCCTAGGGTCCAGACACCAGGGTCCTGAGAGACGCCCCTGGAGCCTGGCATGCAGAGGCCAACACAGGCACCATCTGTTCTGTGGCCTTCCTTCCGTGGCTGGAGCGCACAGCAGCCCTAGAAATGTTCATCTATAGGCCCTAACCCTGCTCCTCCCCGCATGCCCACCGCGCAGCTCTGCCTTTCTCCCTCCAGCCCGCACTTGCTGCCTCACCCTGGGAATGCTCTTCTCTGTGTCCATCCAGAACCCCTCCAGGGCCTGGCTCCAGATCGGGCTCTAACTCCAGGGTTTTGGCCTTGACCCCAACCCTTCCCCTTACTCAGGCCTCAGGCTCCAAGGAAAAGCATGAAAAGCACAGATTCAGGTGCTCCTGAAGTTCCCCCTGGCCATAGAGGCCCTGACCCCCACCAGAGGCCTCGCTGATCCCTCCGACCCCAGTGTAGCCCAGTCCAGCACTGTGGTTGGCAGGAGGGGGGGCAGGGATCATGGCGCAGCCCCTCCTGAGTGACAGGTGGAACTCTGAAGTTGGTCTCTAATCTCTCCCCACGGGTGAGGCCTCCTCACCTCTCCCACAAGGCTGGACATCCCTGAAGACAAAAGTTCTGCAAGCCTCCGTTGCCCCACAGCCTGCCCTGGGTGCAGATGGTCACCAGCAGGGAAGGGCCTGCCCACTTGACAGACAGGGTGACAGATGCCCTAGCGGTCTTCTCATTTCCATGGGCTGAGTGGAGGGGCACTCCCACCTTAGATTAGGCTGCACTGGGCACTAATGCAGGGCACACCCACTTATGCGGTAAGTGGAAGCCCTTGGGCCATCTAGGCCCAAATCACCAGCCTTAGGGAAGAGGCCACCTCTCTTTCCTCCCTAGGTCAGTGACCCCAGCAGCTAGCAGGAAGCATGTGACCCTCACACCACATCTGGGGGACCGTGCATCACACTCCTGCCCAGTGCTGGAATTTCTCCAGGGTTTTTGCTTGGCTGTTGGGGAAAGGTAGGTGGGAAGACATTATAGTTTACTTTTTTTTTTTTTGAGACAGGGGCTCTCTGTTCTTACTCTGTCACCCAGGCTGGGTGCAGTGGCACAATCACAGCTCACTGCAGCCTACTGTTCCTGGGCTCAGGTGATTCTCCCACCTCAGCCTCTCAAGTAGGTAAGACAACAGGTGCATGGCACCATGGCTGGCTGATTTTTTGTATTTATTATTTGTAGAGATGAGGTTTCACCATGTTGCACAGGCAGGTCTCAAACTCCTGGGCTCAAGTGATCTGCCTGCCTCGGCCTCCCAAAATGCTGGGATTATAGGCATGAGTCACTGTGCTCGGCCTGTGGTTTACTCTGATCATGTGGTGTGTCATATATTTGACTAAATCCTTTACCTTTCTTAGTCCCTTCATACCTGGCAAGAATACTATTCAAATGGGCATTATTGGCCCCATATTATAGAGCTAGAAACTGAGGTGCAGAGAGGCTGAGCGATTTGTTCAAGGTAACACAGCCAGCACGTGTTGCCCTGTTATATTTCAGCCTCTACATGGTCTCCAAGGCTTGACCTCCCCTATAGGAAGGGGAATCAGAGGAAAATGCCAGGTGCAGACCACTCTCCTTGGCACGGAGGCCCTGTGACATCATATGCTAAGCCCCTCAGCCCTTGCAAGATGAGGGACCAGTGTCTCTGGGCTGCATGAGGGATGCAGGCCCTGGGGATGGTGGTTCTGCTGCAGAATACAGGGTACAGAGGCAGAGATTTCCAAGGCTGACTCCAGTTCTCCCCAGAGCCTGACCAGCAGGACCTCTTCTCTTTTCTTCCCTCCCTGCAGGACAGTAAGTAGGCACAGTGGGTGAGGGATAGCAGGAGTTAGGGCAGGGGGGTAGAAGCTGCAGAGGGCAGCCCAGAGGGAGAAGAGAGGGCACAGAGACAGGACAAGAGACAAACAGGAGAGGCAGTGACAGCAGGCAGGATGGGGAGCAGCATGTGCTGGGAAGGATATGGCCACAGTGAGACCATGGACAAGGCAGCGTCTGGGCCAGGCTGCCAGGCAAGGCAGAAGCAAGTGCTGAGTCCTGCTCTCCAGGCCTGAGAAGGCCCCGGAGGAGGAACTCTGATTTGAGTCCCCAGCTCTGTAGGGGTTCCTTTCATCAGCTGAACAACCGCTTTCTTATCCCAAAGCCACCCCTACTCCACCCCACAGACACGCGCACACACACACGCACCCACACTCCTCTGTTTGGGACAAGAGACCATTCATCTCACAAATGAATCCACCCCTGTCCCAAGGGGATCTGTACTTCCTCCACCTCAGGCATCTATCTGGGGCTGGTCAAACACATACATGTCCGATATACACAGAGGTGGACACCAGCCCATCTCAGGGAGACAAGGAGACAGCCCGTGGGCAAGGTGGGAAGTGAGCCAACGGGAAAACATGGCCACACCATGACTGAGGGTTTTCAGCTGTGCTCAGCCCCTGACTCTGTTTGTTTCCCAGGTCTAAAGCTGACCCATGGGCCAGGACAGTGCTGGACTGGCCACGACAGGCACAGCAACACTTCACCCAGGACCCCAGAGGGCACCACTGCCTCCTGGAGGCCCATTCACCCAGCAAATGTAAAACACAGTTCCCTAGACACAGTCAGTGCTTAGCAAAAGATTCTTATTTAAATCACAAGTCCAGGTTATTTCTGGTGGGGGAGTGGGCAGAGAGAAATAGGGAAAGGACCCAGGAAAGGGGGAACAGACAGTGGCAGCAGGACAAAGCAGAGGAGACCTGAGGAGATCCCTTTCCTCCTTGGTTCTAACAGCTCCAGCCCAGGGTCACCACTCACCTGACAGGTGCTCGCGTTTCACAGCTATACGCCCTCTGCCCAGCTAGTGTGTAAGCACTGGGGACCGGGCTGCCTCTTACTGCTAGAGCATATTTGTTGAATGAAAGCAGAGAGCAAGAATATGAGAATCCCAGGACTGGAAAGGACCTGCATATTTAGCTAGACTGTACTTGGTCTGGAGTACCAATGAGGCTTGCAGTCTCCATTGTAGGGGTCCTTGATCTGTGATCCACTGTGGGCATGAAGGTGTGCACGGTCCCCCTGAAATCACATGCACACATGTGTATATGCATGTGCACGAATGCTTCTGTTCTGTGCATTGTGCTGGCAGCAGAAACTCTAGTTGTCTTCAGAGTCTCAAAGAGGTCCCTAACCAAAGAAGGTCAAGGACCATTCATCAGCATACCCAGGCCTCTGCTGAAACACTTGTAGGGGACAAGATTTCACTATCTCCCAAGTCAGCTCATTCCAATTAATCAAGAAATCAATAAATAGTTTTTTTCTGTGAGACAGAACAAAAGGCAAAGTAGCCCAGGAGAGTACTTACATGCTCACAAGTCTGGAGGTGGAAGGGAGGAGGGGAGGTTACAATTCAAGACACCCACCCATGTAGAAAACATTAACTGAGCAGCTAGCATGTCCTCCGCACTAAGAACCAGATGCCAGGATTACTAAGTAGAAAAGACAAGATTCCTACTCTCAGGGAGCTGACAGTCTAACTACTGAGACAGACACACACATTGCTATTACAGGACAAGACCAATCGTTCAGACATGCTTTACAAAAAATTAGCCAGGAGTGGTGGTGGGTGCCTGTAATCCCAGCTACTAGGGAGGCTGAGGCAGGAGAATCTCTTGAGCCTGGGGGGAAGTGGAGGTTGCAGTGAGCAGAGATCGTGCCACTGCACTCCAGCCTAGGTGACAGAGCTAGATTCAATCAAAAATAAAAATAAATAAAAGTAAAATAAAATAAAATAAAAAGACATGCTTTACCAGAGCACCTACAACTCATTTTTCACAGGCTCACAGCAGCTGGAGAGAGATCTGCTCCTGGTGGCAGCCAAGTAAAACCCCTCAGAGAAAGGACATCCATTTGTGTCATAAAGAAGCCAGTTGGAATGTGTCCATGTACAAGGGCAGGGAATGGCATTTTAGGTAGCAGCAATAGCAAGTGCAGGAGCTTAGAGGAGGGAGAGTGCTTGATGTTTTCAGAAACTCCAAGTAGACCCGTATGGCCAGAGGAGGGCTGAATAAAGAATCACATGCCACCACTACCACCACAACACACACACACACACAGACAGACAGACAGACACACACACACACACACACACACACACACACAACAGATCGAGGACTTGAGACCTAGGCTGGAGTCCTGGTTCTGCTACTGATTCCCCGAATGCATCGTCTTTCTGTAGAAGAGCCTTAGTTTCCCTATCCAAACAATGGGGATGCTGCACACAGGCTAGGATATTGGTGCAGAAGCAGTAGGAAGTACTCAGTGCCCATCTTCTCTGCTTCTCCTAAAGCAGGCCAGCCCTGGACTCATGCCCCCATGCTGGGTTGATGGGGAGTGGCTGGAACAGGGACATGGTAGGAAATCCAGTACCCATGACCAGTATTCAGCAATTCCAGAAAGTTGGGGGATCAGAGACAAAATGTCGGAGGCATTGAGGCTTCATAGGATACCCCTGTCCAGATGGATTGCTGCCTGCCCTCACTGGGACCCGGAGGCTGATCAAGGGGAGGGCAAACCTGGGGACCAATTGCAGGACGGGTTGCAGAGGCAACCCATAGCTGGAACACAGAATTCTACATCGAGCTCTCCCACTGACTGGCTAGGTGACTTGCCAGGCCTCTGTGTCCTCTTTTGCAAAAAATGGGAGCTATGAGGAAAGAGAGGCCATGAATAGAGCACCACCCAAGAGCAGGGGACGGTTCCACACGGGCCATCTCCTCCCCAAGCCCTCCTCTGGGTACTGATGGCATCTGGCTCCCTGCCACTGCTACTTACTGATTACTAATGCCGTCTGCTTTCCTCCCTCCCACCTGACTCAGAAGGTCCACGAGGTGTGGTCTTTCCTCTGAGCCCATGCCTGTCCAGTCAACGTAATCTGACAGAGGGAGGGTCAGGTTGCCTCAGCCAACAGCTTCTCAAATGACGGTCCTCCTTGCCTGAGTCACACTTCAGCTTCCTAAGGGTGGCCAAGAGAGCTGGGAGCATCCTCCCAAACTCTGGACTGGAATAGAATGGCCATTGCTCCCAGGCCCTGGGGCTGTCCCCTAAACACACACAGACCACAAAGGCTGCTGGGAACCCACCGGAGATCCTTAAGCCCATTCTCAAACATGGGCACCTCATATCCTCAGGCAGAAATGTAGCTTTGTTCCACACATCCACACTGGTCAGGCAGCCCGTGGGCTTATCTCCACCTGTTGAGGGCACAGGTGACACATCCAAACCCTTGGGAAACTGCCAAGACTGGGGCCTTTTAAAGCAGGACACTATAGCTACTCCTCTAAGGGTTTTAATGGCCATGTCTGTACAGAAGGGCTGGGCCCAGGGAAAGGCCATCTGTTAAGCCTTGTGACACCTTGCTACTGTTCTCAAACCACCAATGGGTAGACCTGAGCAGCAAAGAGGAGGTTCATTGCTACAGAGGGTAATGCTCTAGGAAGAGCTTCCTAAAGGTTGGAACTATCGGAACTATCCAACAATGGAGAGGTCTCCCAGGAATAAGCATCCTGGGCCTGGAGATGTTTGAAAGAACACTGGCAGGTGTCCTAAGCCAAAAATGTTCTCTACTCGAATAGGTGTGGGAACTGTCACACTGAAGAAAGGTTAACAGGTTTTGCACTGCGGGACTTCTCAGAGCCTTTACTATGCTAGTGGGCATTGTGTGTTTCCAAGGGAAAGGAAGGACATTGTGTCTTCCAAATGTATTTGACCACAAAGTCCTTCCCCCAACATTCACAAAGTAGGGGTCTCTTGACAATAGGGCCACACCTTCCAGCTACCTTTGTCCCTGGAGAAACAGGGAAAGGGAACAGCTGCCCTAAGAATTCTACCTGAATGGAGTGAGACAGCCACACCTCCCTGGAGGCTGGGGGGTACAGGGACTACCTGGCAGGGTTTCCAGGCAGTCCTCCAAGGGGCCCAAGAGGTCATCTTCA